GTACTTTGTGTTATAATCTGAAAAAAGAAAGAGAGGGTTATGGTACAGTACATTACAAAGCAAAAAGCTGTAAACAGGCTGATGACTGTACAAATTCAGTTAATTATGAAGCTAATGAAAAATTAAAAGGGAGTTCTAATGAAAAATTTGATCAAATGTTGCTCAGATTATCATTGCATATAATTAAGTGGCTGAAAAAAGGTTCCCCAAGGTATATTTTAGCTTGTGATCTTTTTCACACTTAAAAAAATACAATAAAGTTAACAAAGATTAAAAGCCAGTTTTCTTTTTGACAACCAAGTGTCTCAAAGTATGTTAACATGTAATTTGATTACATCAGCATCACTTTTGTTTAATTACCAACTATTGTGCTCCCTTTGGTTGCTGGTCATTTCAATGTAAAACTGTTTTTAAGTGCAGCCTTTATAAACTAATGAACGTTTCTGTGACTTTTGTTAGTACACATTTGTACACACTAAGCCAACGTCTATCTTTAAAAGTAAGTGAAGTAGACTGTAGTTGACTGAGTCCAGCAATGTATTGCGAAGGAAAATGAAACAGCACAATATAAGAACTGACAATGCTCAGAGTAAGATATAACCCCGTGATCTGTCAAGAAAAAGAAATTCTTAAATATGTTTGTGGTTTTTCTTTACTATGGATATGATGAAGCATATCATTTGGATAATCAAAAATTAATATGCATATAAATATGTATCCCTTCCTCTCACTCTTTATATGAATAAAATATGTAATGTTGTGGAAAATATTTTCACAAGTTAGGAATAACCTCATAACTCACAAGAGCTGGAATAAAACAGAAGCCATGAGTGGGTGATATTAAGTAATCTGAAACTACCGGAAGTTTAAATATACTTTAAAATACATTAAATTGAAGAAAATGTTTAGCTTAGTTTAGATTTTAGCATCTGAAGATGATGCGTATGAATCACCTCTGTTCGGTTCCACTTGTGCCTGCATGATCAAAATACTAGTGAAAGAAAGACAAGTAACCTTGAAGTAATATGCAGACTGGACCAAATCCCGACACAGAGGTACAAATATTTAGATTGTAAAATAAGCTAAAGTTTCAATACTTCCCTGAATTGACAACTGAAGAGTGTGGTAGTTACCTGTTGTCTTATTTATCACTGCATACTTCTGTGATTGCAATTATTCCATTATGAATCTTTTCTTCAGTTTACAGTATATACTGCATTGATCTGTAGAAACTGCACTACAGATAAGTGTGTGTGTAGATACAGCTTTCTCTCTTCAGATCTGTATGCATTTTTCAGACAAATGCATTTCGGATTTTCCTGTGAAATAGCCTCTCTTCCACCTTCTTCTCTCTTTCTAGGTGCTTCTGGAACGAGGATGGCAGTTTTAACTTAGCCAAGTCCTAGAACACAATCCTTTACATTTGGTGAGCAAGGCCAAGGACATGAGATTTCTGAGACATATTCTGTCTGGATTTTTATTAGAGCAACAACTTCTTAGAATGTAGATAAACACATTGGCCTGGCACATTCAGATCCAGACAGTTACCACAATTGCACTTACCCATCAAAGTATATGAATAGGGAATCTAATTAGAGTCTTTTTTTTAACCTTCCTGCTCTCTGTTGTAATAAGCAATTTCATTCGAGCTGTTATTCAAAGACACAAAGAGTAGTTTGGGTACCTGGCTTTAAAAAGAAAAATACGAAGTGGGAAAACCTTTATATACCATCATTACTTGGTATTTAAAAGGTGCAAAATAAAAATAGGGATGGAATAGGTCTGAACTACTTTATCCACATGGTCATCTTGTATTAATGTTCCACCCAACAGTGAAAGATTAAGCTATCACTAAGAGCTTGATGGATTTGTACCACTCTCCGTGCATGACTTCTCTAGTTTCCAAAGACAGTGCCATTATGAATGACGCCACAATGTCAACCAAGTCTCATTGCCCAATGAAGTGACTCAGTTCTTGCCAGTAAAACCTGTTAAGAGCAACATCAAAGAGTACCTGATCTGTCCTTTTTTCCATATATCTGTTCAAGGAGCCCAATGGAGTTCCCTGAGCTGTAGTTGTTGTGGAATAGAGTGAGCAACAAGCTAGGCAGGGGAGGGAAGCAGAACTGGGTCTGAAAAATATATGCACTACCTCTCTTCTTAAAGGTGGAAAAAGATTACTCTATTGAATATGGGGAATAATATAG